GGGGGGGGAGCTGTCTCTTGGATTTGGGTTTCCAGGCTGGAGCGTTCAGCTGGAAGGGTCTCCTGAACCTCAGGAGATGGTGAGGCCGTGGTGGCAAGGTGTGGCTGGGGTCAGCCGGGCCCTTTGCCTCCCACGATGGTGTGCGAACGCAGACCCACGAGGCGGGGGGGGGCTGGCTAGCGGCACTGGAGGGGCTGGGGCTGGCATTGCAGGTGGACTACGGGGGCACGGCGGAAGAGCTGGAGTCTCACTTCAACAGCTGCGGGCAGATCAACCGAGTGACCATCCTCTGCGACAAGTTCTCGGGGCATCCTAAAGGGTCAGCGCTGTGCGCAGGGGCTGGGGTGTCGAGGGCGCTGCCCTGTGCTCCCCAGCCTTTGGGAACAGGGGGTGTCCCTGGGGCCCTGCTCACCCCGTCCCCTTGCAGGTACGCCTACATCGAGTTTGAAGAGAAGAGCTCCGTGAAGGCTGCGGTGGAGCTGGACGAGAGTGTGTTCAGAGGCCGTGTCATTAAGGTAAGAGCTGGATGAGGCCCCGGGGTGGTGCATGCATCCGTCCCTCCCAGCCCCGTGCGCGTGGGGCTGTGCTGAACCCCGGTGCTGGCAGCACAGGCTGAGCCACCGCCTTCCAGGTGCTGCCCAAGAGGACCAACATGCCGGGCATCAGCACTACTGACCGCGGGGGCTACCGGGGCCGATTCCAAGCCCGGGGAGGGCTTGCCCAGCGGGGAGGCTACTACGGAGGGCAGCACCCGAGGGTGCGAGGGAGGACATACAGGTGAGTGGCCGCACGGGGGGCGGGGGGCGGGTTTCCTTGCGTATTTGGGTCAAGATCCCTGTGGAGCAGGGTGTCCTCAGGATGGGGATAACTGCCTCTCCCTCTGGCCGTGCTCAGCTTCTCGGCTTTGCACCTCCCACCCTGGCATGGACAGGAGGATGGAGAAGGGCTCCGGCAGGCGTATTCTCCTGGAGACCTGTGCTAGAAATGTCTCCAGCCCGTCGCGTGCTGTTAGCATCACCCCGGTGTCTGTGGGGGCAGCAGGAACCTGGTGGCTGGTCTGGCTGGGACACGGGCACCTCGGGGGGACTGTGGGCAGCCGAGATGGGGAGGGACCGAAGTGAGCAGCCGGCGATGGCACGGCAGACCCATCCCCACTGCTGTCCCGGCATCCCTCGCGTCCCCAGCACAGGCCTGGAGCTATTCTCCGGCATACCTCCTGCTGCTCGTGCATCCATGAGCTCACTGCAGATTAGCTTCAATGATGTCCCGGCCCCTTCGGCACTGCGGGAGGAAGCGGAGAGGAGCTTCGGGGGTGGAAGAAACACCTGGAAACTCGCTGCTGTGCCCCCCACTCCTGCAGGGATTTGGGGGGTGGTGGGTGGGCATCACGCTCCCAAGCCTGACCGGTCCTGGAGCCGTGCCTGGCTTTTGGGGCTCCTCTGTCCTTCGGGGGTGCGCTGGGTTCAGTCTGGGTTAGCTGGGGCAGAAGGGTGAGTCCCACCTCTTGGAGGGGCGGAGGGGCAGGTAGCTAGCTGTGCTTTTTGGCATCTCAGCTGAGCAACGCCCCTGTGCTTTAGGATGCTGGTTTTGTTCTTGTTTAGGGGTCGGGCAAGGCTGCTGCCTTGGTATTTTCCATACTAGAAAGGACTGGACTTCCCTGGTGACGCCGATGGGACTGAAATGAGGAGATGGGATTGGAGAGATTTAAAAATATGCCTACCCAAGCCAAAAAAGATTAATTTTAAAATGCCATCTGCCTGGCCGTGAGGATTACTGGTGAGGCAGCCGGAGTGCTGGGCTGCGGGAGGGAAGACTGGATCCGTTCCACCCGCGCATCGGCCAGATCCCTGCCAGCGTCCCAGGAGGGGGCTCACCTTAGCTTTGCTTCGGGGATTGCGTTTTCACCGAGAACAGTCTCATTCCAGAGAGCACCCTGTCCTGGGAAGGGCTTTCCCAGACCATCAAGCCTCATCCTCATCTCATAGAAAAGGGCTGTTACTGGAGGGTTCGGTGCAAACCTGGTTCGGCTTTTAGCTGTCCAAACGCCCTCCACCCCACCGCGAGGGCGGACCCGTCCCGCTCGGCCCGTGGAGCACCCTCAGCTTTGCCAGCTGTTTCTACAGGAGCTGGATGTTGCTTTCTCTTGCCCATAAGATCCTAAAGACCTTTCCGAAGACTGCTTTCTTCTCCAGATCAGCGGAGAAAGTCTTGGGTCGCAGCTCTGGACCTGACTGCTGGAGAGCTTTTCCTTACCGCCATCAGCCTTGTGGATTTCTGACCTTGCTCTTGGGAAGAGGATGGAGCCTAACGAGGTGTTTTGTTTGGGTCTGGTTTTTGGCTCGCTGCTGCTGTCGTGCAACCGGGGGAGGGAAAAGGCATCCCTTGCTGTTTCTCTGGAAGCCTCTGCATCTCCGTGGCGGTTAAACGAGACCTGGGTGTCACGAAACCCTTCCCCCCTTTTTATTTCAGAAGTCAACAACCCCCTCTTACCTCCTGCTTTTATCCCAAAGCTACAGGGATCAGAGAGTGCTGCTAACGCATCATTTTACTTTATTTCTAGCGGTAGCAGTGTTACAAAATCATCTCCACTGTTGCAAACTTGGTCTGATCTTCCTCTTTACTC